AAGAAGTTGCAAAGGCAGTATCAGCCAATAAGGTAGTATTTTTTAGGTCTTTTTATCCAGAAACTTATTGTAGAGATAACGAGACACAGCAGAATCATGCCAACTTCCTGGTGTATTGAGATTGGTATACATGATAGTTCTATCTGGAGCAAATACAAAGATATTGCTCATATAGTGACTACTGCACTACGCATTATAGAAGGGGTTTTCTACCTCAAGATCTGCAGAACCAGTGATTAGTAAATACAATCCATCAATAAAGCCAGAAGTACCGTGTAGTGATGAATGTCATCTATAGATCAGCCGAGTATACTGATAGACTTCTGAGTGATTAGGCCATGCTATCCTTACTTAGGGCAATGCTCCAAGAAATATGAGAAGAAGCTGAATTCCAAAGAATCAATATAAGTAGCAAATAGCTGGAGTAACTCCAAATATTTGCTCTAGAGAATAATCCGCTATCATTGAATTAAGATAGTATAGAATAAGTCCAAGATTGCCTGCTACATCAAGAAAGTTTTTGACTAACTTTGTCTTTCTCAATAAGGATACATCATGTCTTGCAATTGGTGTATTCTCTCAAAGAGACTTGAAAGCAGTTAAGAGGAACTTAAATAACTGGCAATTAAATCTCATAGCAGTTATGAAGACTCAATTATTGCTACTTCCATATAGGTACATCCAAGCAAAACCACTTGGATCTCATAGATTGGGTATCAAATTACAATGGGTAAGATAGAATCTTAATCGATAACTAGTATCTTGTTGATACTCGTTATAAAGTAATAGGATAAGATCATGAGCTAGCCAATTCCTGCACTCAAGACCCCAGAGGTAGAAAACAAGGAAATGGTAAGATTAATAATCCATGATAATGGTTTATGTCAGTTATCTTGTACAGATATATGAGCAGATATTGTATCTTATAACAAGTTCTTCAAACCGCTACTAGCATTATATTACATATCCGTATTTATAAGGGTGGTACTGAGCTAGTCTCCTTCCAACACTCTATAATCTATTCTATTTTACTGTAATAGAAAATCTAAATAGGAGGGGGGTCAGGCCTCCTCCTTCTATTCAGCGCTTCTATACACCCTCTACTATCTTGCAATATTTGGAAGTTTTAGCTCTATACCAGCACCATAAACTTACGGGAAGTCCTCCAATGTGACCTGCATAAAAGTATGGAGATATTATAGTTAAATTATACTTCTATCATATGAGCCTGTAAAATGAAAAACCTGATTCTCAGGCCTATTTCCTGTGGCTGGGATACTGAGTTGCAACTAAAGCAACCAAGTTTAAATGGTTTTGAGATACAATGAGTTTTATGTCAATAACCTTTTTAAATGATTCCACTCATTCAAACAAAAAATCAAAAAAACAATATTAATCTAAAGCAGGGAAAAATTCAGTTTAGTGTTACCTAGTCAAATTTATGAATTAATATTTTTCAACCAAGTTGCATTTATAATGTTTTACCCAATCTTTTATTATTAAATTTTGCACTAGGTGGAAGGTCATACTTCTTATAGTACAAAGTAGTAATAAAACAGGGAGAACAATTTTCCACAAACTGAAATAGCTCAGCAACTACTTAATGTTTAACTATTATTATTAGTTGAATATGAGTACAAGAGACTAAAGTGATTTTACATGGTAAAAAGTCAAATGTAAGTATTTTGAGTATTTTGCATATAAAAGCTGCTACAGAGGTCATTAGAGCTTCAAAAATATTTTCTGAACTATTAGATATATACTCTATATAACTAGCTAAGTGGTTAGGCAGAAATAAATGTTTTGTGGTCAAGGTTCGAGAGTCAGGTTTTTGCTTGTACAGTAGTGTCCGGAAAGTAATGATACTCCTATAAAGTAACAGCGCGACACAACCCCCCTGCATTCTATCAACTGCTATGGCTCCACTATAAGCCCGGAGAAAAAATAAATATGGGAATCAAGAGATTTATGCCCTGTATAAGCATACAGATATGGGGTATAATAAAATTTCAAAGGCTTTGGGTGTCTAAGGTAACTGTTCAAATATTTATAACTAAAGCTAAAGAAAAAGGTGGAAATACTCACTATACTTTCCAGCCTGACCACCCAACAAAGATTACCAATACCAAAAGAAGAGTAGTAGAGGCTAATATCGATGCCGAGCCTCCTTCAACATTACATGAAATCATCCAAAAAGTGAATATTGGTCTTAGCAAGACTTGTATACATAAAATCTTATCAGATGCTGGTTTTAAACTTGTGATACCAAGGAAAAAGCCGTTTTGGATGAAACAGCAAAAGAAGAAGAGAAAGGAGTTGTTAGGAGAAGGAGGAATTGGAGGAGGACATGGAATTGTATGGTATTTGTTGATGAAGCTACAATTATCTATAATCCAAATCCTACTGGAAGGAAGATCAGGATAAGAGCTGGTAAAGAGTTAGAGGAAAAAAACTTAAAGCCTAACTTTAAGTCAGGAAGGACTAGCATTGGGGTCTATACTGCAATAATGAATGATGGCAGGACTGAGGTAATTCTTTTGAGGAAGAGAACTGAGGAGGAAAGGACTAGTAAAAGGGATAGACTTGGCCTTAATTTCCACCAATATGCAACTGAGATCCACCAGCCTTACCTCATCCCTTTATTGAAGATCTTGATAGACCTTCTAAAGACATCTACCTAGCTGCAGATAATTACTCATGGCATGGTGGTGCAGAAAATCAGAAATTGCACTCAGACTCTGGTTATTAGAAATTGCCTTGGCCATCCAACTCCTCAGATCTCAATCTAATTGAGAATTCTTGTGTACTTCTCAAAAGAGCCCTCAGAGAGCAATTCTCCAGGTTGGAAAGAAGGCCCCACAGTGTTGTGGAATTATTTCTAGCAGCAAAGGAAGAGTGGGATTTAATTGCTCAGAAGACATTGGATGGATAAATAGTTAGGATGCCAGAGAGAATTCAGGCTGTATTGGATGCAGAAGGAGGTCATACAAAGTGGTAGTAGGATTTTTTTGAAAGCCTATTGTATCTACTTTCAGTTTTCTTTTAATTGAGTTTCTACTTTCATTTTTTCTATGGTTGATTTCATCAATGGTGGTGGTTGTGGTTGCGGTAGAGGGGTATCATTACTTTCTGTACCCTTGAGGTGCAACCCCGCAACACCTCATCACCACAACAACCCTCCTCACCATGGCCCCTCCACATAACCTAAGAGCAAGAGAAGACCTGAATAAGGAAATTCATACTCTGTATAAACATACAGATATGGGATATGACAAAATTTCTAAGTCTTTAAGTGTATCCAAGTCAACTGTTCAGTCTGTAGTCAAAAGAGCTAAATTTGGAGATGGAAACACTCACCATGCAAAAAGAGGTAGAAGACCAACCAAGATTACCGACATAAAAAGAAAGATAGTGGAGTCAGTTATCGATGCCGAGCCTCATTTAGCATTACACAATATTACCAAAAAAGTGAATATTGGTCTTGGTAAAACCACTATTGATAAGATCATATCAGAAGCTGGTTTTAAGCTTCTGATACCTAGGAAAAAGCCTTTTTGGAGAAAAGGACAAAAGGAGAAAAGAAGGGCGTTTGCTAGGAGAAGGAGGAACTGGAAAGGGGCATGGAATTGGGTTGTTTTTGTGGATGAAGCTACCATTATTTATGATCCAAATCCAACAGGCAGAACAGTCAGAGTTAGACCTAGTGAAGAGCTGGAAGAAAAAAACTTAAAGCCTAGCTTTAAGTCTGGAAGGACTAGCATTAGAGTATATGCTGCAATGATGAAGGGAGGAAAGACTGAGTTAATTCTTGTGAGAAAGAGAGGAGAGGAGGAAAGGACTAGTAAAAGAGACAGACTTGGTCTAAACTCTCACCAATATGCAACTGAGATCCACCAGCCTTACCTTATTCCTTTTATAGAGGTCTGGATAGACCTTCTGACAATATTTACCTTGCTGCAGACAATGCTTCCTGGCATGGTGGTGAGGAAAATCAAAAATTGGAAGCAGACTGTGGTTACAAAAAACTCCCTTGGCTACCCAACTCACCAGATCTCAATCCTATTGAGAACACATGGGCACTACTCAAAAGAGCCCTTACCAAGCGATTCTCCAGACTGGAAAGAAGGCCTCATAGTGCAACTGAATTGTTTGAGGCAGCAAAGGAAGAGTGGGATTTAATTCCCCAAGAGAAGTTGGATGGATGGATAGATAGGATGACTGAGAGAATGCAAGCTGTACTGGATGCAAATGGAGGCCATACAAAATGGTAATAATGTTTTTTTATTGTCTACTAGCAATACTATCATGTTTTCTTTAATTGAATTCTTTACATTTTTTTTGAAATTTTTATGGTTGGGGGTTGTGGTTGTGTGGTTGCCATGCGAGGGTACGAAAACTTTCCGGACACGACTGTACTTGTACTCGTACAGGCTCATAATATTATCATATTTCGAGCCCATCAAGCGGTGCCAAGAATAAAAAGCCTTGGCGCAGATCATAGCCACATCCAACTCTCTCATCATCGAGGGTGTCCTACTCCTAGCATCCGGAAGAGAAGAACAACAACCCACAACTTCGTCACGATGCGTGCCAACTACAAGATAATACAACTACTCGCGGCATTAGGCTTACCTATCGCCACTGCTTTTCAAGACGCTTCTCCATTTATCTTGTACTCTTCTTCAAAGTCTGCACTTCTGCCCCCCCCCCATATATTGCACGTTCGTCTAACACCCAATTTCAGGTTCGAGAAGCCGAGTGTTTCCCAAATAGCCACAACTGCAGCGGTGTCTTCCATCGCCCAGGATGTTATAAAACTATGCGCATCTGAGGCGTATATTCTTGTTCAGCAGCCCGGAGCCCACACAAGCGATTTCGCCTATTCCAAAGCTGCACCCACACTCTATGCGGCCTTACAAGCCGCAGAAGGAAGCTCGCTTACAGTGGATAACGTTTACGAACGGGATGCAGAGGCGGAGAGTCTTACGGAGATTATGGCGAGGTACGCTGAGGAGGCTTGTGATGCGGAGGTTGAGGAGGTTGATGCGAAGAGTATGCATTTCTTTCAGTGTGGGATGTGTGGAGGTTGTGTGGAGTTAACAGTATGTATTAGCGGGCTCGTTTGGCGGATTTGATGATATGAAGCCGAAGGTTATTCGCGTGGACTTTGCCGAGTTGCCAATGGGGAGAGAGGCTAGGATGAAGGCATTGAGGGAGAATGGTGAGCGCCTGACATATGAGATTTTCGTAGAAGCTGTTCTGACCGTTTACAGACTCTTTCCTACAATCCGTCATCTCGCTTATCCCTACGTCGAAATACACACTTATTTACACAACCACTCCCATTTCTACCCAACTGAAGGTCCAATCAACCCCTTTAGGCGAGCTCAGACGTCGTGACGATCACGAGGGTGCTACACGACCCGCGCTTGATAGCTTGTTCTCACGATATCAGTTCTTTACTCCGGGCATTTTCATGGGCTACCTTGTGGGACTCTTCCTCTTGACTATTCTCTATGTTGGGATCAGCTCAGTCTCCAGCTTGACAATTACCTATGGTGCGTTTGAGAAGGAGATGGGGCCGGCGGCCCAGAAGAAACAGCAGTAGTGGTGAAAATGTGGGATAATTATTTTAAATCCTGTCTTTTTTTTCTTTTTTTTTTGCTGCGTTGCTGCACCGCGCTATGTATCATATCCGTATCTATCGACACAGAATTCGTAACTATTAAATTTTTGCAGTGAGGACTAGAAGTGAGGAATATTAATAATGGCTTGAGGTTGCTGGCACTGGTATTGTACGATAGCACTGATATTCAGGATTAAACCCTATGAGGGTGGATGTGGACTACGAGTAGTCCGGACTATTTGTCCTACCGGGATTGAGGGAGTGGGTCCGATGTTGAAACGAGTATCCCAGGTATGGGTAGATGGCTACCCACAAGGCTGTTCTCGCATCATACTCGGGGGTGTAGGTAAATGATGGGATGGACAGGGGTTGGAGATGTCAAAGCTTTTTGCCCTCTCTGGTATTAGACCTACCAAATTAAATCATTTCTTGCCTCTTACAGTAGCGAGCACGGGGACCTCGAACCCCTGTCCATCCCATCACTAACGCACACCCCCGTGTATGGCTGGTCGGCAGCGTGTTTAGGCTATCATAACTCCCCCGAAAGCGTAGTAATAGCGGTAGTGCCCATGCCGGTACCGGTATTGCTTTGTATCCACATGTGTTTTAATATTATGGCACACGATATGTACGAGTATATTGGAGGGTTACTCGGGTTGTAATATCTATATAGTGCAATCCTATGGCGTCGTGCTCGAGTACTATCCCGTCTATGAAGGCACTTCAAACATTCAAAAGTGGCGGAGTAGACTATCCCTTCGTTCGTATTCACGGACGCGAGCCAGTGAGGGACTTGAGGGAACTAGAGATGCGCTAGACCTCGGAAGGATAGTTACGAGTAGTGCCAAGAGAAAGTGGCCTTTGGTACAGAAAATCTTCACAAAACTTGGTTGACCGGTGATCATCAACCGCTTAACATAACTACCAGCCAACGAATACTGCCTACCAGCCACCATTGCCCAGAATATCCTCCTTTACCTATACAGTAAGTATTATAGTATTGATGTGAGATATTAGAGAAGGTTAAAAGCTAATATAAGTTAGATTACAAATGACCAGTATCCAGAACACTCGAGTCTAGCGATTTTTTATTTCCATCAGTCCAATCTATTACCTGTTTCTCTAGTCAATAGGATGCCTGGTCTGGACGAATCTGAGGAGAACATAGAATTAGATAATGATGAATATGATTAAGAGTGGGCTGAGGATGAAAGCGAAGGTGAAGGTGAAAGTGGAGGAGGTAGTGGAAATACTACAAGGACAGGAGCAGGTTTATTGAATTGGGAATTACCACCTCCACCTGAATTCACTCTGTTCAACCATCATGCTTCCGAGTATGTTCGAAAGATTATGCTACCTTCAGACTTTCCCAAGAGCTTTTTGATGACTGTAAATGAGGATTGAGCTACCTCAGCCAATAGCCTTACTTCTTAGTCTACTGAAGTGGTGGAAGGCCCCATTTAACTAGATCAATATCTCATTCTTGGTTCATTTTTCTTGGTCTTTTTTCCGGTTACTAAGTTTGAAACCTTGGCCAATAATATGAATGCTTACGCAGCCTCAAAGGGTGCAGAGAAGAATTGCTGCCAGTGATATGATACTTCATCTGAAGAGCAGATAATATTTATGGCCTCTTAATATATATGGGAGTTCATAAGTCAATGAGAGTAGGACTGTATTAGGAGAAAAGTGATGAGTTTCCAAGACAAGAAATTACTGAGTATATGTCTAAATTTCGATTCGAGCAACTAAAAAGATCTTTTCAGATCTTTTCCCTACCTCAGCCCAATTCTGATCACCTGAATCTCAGCTAGCTACCCGTATGACAGCATTGGACTCAAAAGCTATAATCATATTTGCTTCTAGTAACTCTCATTGCAAGCAATGAAATAATGGTATGGTTCACAGGACGATCAGTACATACTGTGAGGATGCGAGCAAAGCCTATCCCACAGGGCTTTAAGATGTTAGCTTTGTGTAAGCATGGATACACATATGCTTTCATGTTTACATCTCAGGTAGATAAATTTTCTGATCTACAAAGATGTCTCTATCATGGATCCAGTCAACAGGCTCTCTCTCCCACCTCCTCTTCCACAGTTTTTCAGTTAATGATGTTACTTCCCTATTCAGACTATCAGTTGGTTCTCTATTGTGATAACTACTTTTCAAATATCTTTTTATTTAAAGCTTTACAAGAATATTCCATTGCTGCCTATAGGACTACTAGGCCAAACTCAGCAAAATATCCTCTTGTTCTTAAGTTTAATAAGCATACCTCCCAACTTCCTTGGACTACTCTATCAGGAGTTGTTTCTACCAATGTTCTTACAGTTATTTGGCAAGATAAGAATGTTGTTCACTTTTTCACCACCTACCATGAGTGTACACAGGAGGAAGGAAAGAAATTTCACTACCCAAATATGGAAAAGACCTCACATTACCCCAGCTAATTCAGAACTTATTAGGACTGGATGGGGTAAAGACCATGTCTGACAGCTGCGAATACCACTCTTACTAGTCAATTATAATGACTATATAGGAGGGGTTGAAATTTCAGACCAGTGGCGCAACTACTATTACACTCAACTTCCTACCTGTCGTAACTGGTTTTCTTTATTTTTTTTTTGGCTACTTGACACTTCTATTATAAATTCCTTTCTCCTATCGCAGATTTATTTTTCTACTCTTCTGAGCCATCTCATTTCTTCATCCTCATCCTCAAGTTCCCTTTCTCCTACGGGTACATACTCCTTCCTTAGTCCTAAGAGTAAATCCTGGTCTGCTCATGGGTTTTACCATACTCGACTTGCTTGGAACTTAGTTCTTAAAGGATTTCACTGTTCAAGGATCTTACCTGCCCCTACTGTCCCACTTCCTAATTTGCACTCTTCTTCATCCAGAATTCACCACTGAGGAAACCGAGGAACTGGCTCTTATATTACAAAACACTATGATCTGAATTCACACCGTCTTCTACCTGGTGACCACAGCTTAGAAAAAGTCCCTCGCAAAAGGAACTACTGTCTCTTCTGCTGGTATCTTTCAAAAATGCCTGAATTGACCACTCTATTCCACAATCCCAATGGCCCAAAAGGGCGGGTTTAATATACCAATTTTCAATGCTCATTTTGTAAAGTGCCATTATGTAAAAAAAAAAAAAAAAAACTTTTTGTATGCAAAAGTATCATGACTCTCAAATTTCTTACTAGACGTCTGCAGCGTTTATCTTTCTTCTCTTTATGGTTAGTTTTTCCTTTCACTTAATTTTTTCTTGGTATAGCCTCTCTGCTTAAAATCGTTACCTTGATCCTTGCGCTATCGCGCACTAAAAGTACGTGAAATTCGGCATACGAACGAAGGGATCGCCGCGGCTCTGCCACTGGTCCGGCTTCCTTCTCAAGTCTTGGCTACACCAACAAGCCCAAGCTCTCATGTGGTATTCAAAACTCCCCATCATTTAACTTTAACCTCCGTTCCCAACAATAACAATTCTTCATCACCTAAACAAACAAACAAATTTATACTTCTGGAGCTCATTCCCTCATACTCTCTCGTCATGGCGCCAACTCGACCCCCCAAAGTTGCAAGGTATTCGATGCCCGCAGCGAAAATGGAGCCCGTGAATCCTATGCGGATTGTGCCGTTGAAGGGTACCCCTCGGAAGCCGGCTCTTCCTCTCGGTTTGTCAACTCCTTGAACATTGCCCCCGGAAAAGGAGAAAAGGTGGGGGGGGGGCGGAGGGTAATGCTAATGTTGGATCCGAGGCTAGAAATAATCTCGACAATATTGGAATACCTCCCCGTTCAAGACCTATGCCGGTTTGCCCGAGTATCTAAACAGTTGCAGGAGATGGTGTACGATGATAGCCGGTGGGTGCATAAGCTAAAGCTGATGGGTGTCTGGAACGAAACGGAAGCACGTCGTCGGTTTGAAGACGCAATGCGTCGGAGGAGGACCATGCAAGCAGCAAAAGCAGAGGAGGAGAGAAAGGCTTTACAAAATGGGGCCAAAACTCCGAATCTTGGCCTGGCCACTGGGCCTCCTCCTGGGGTGAGTAGGTCTTTGACACTGTTTGATGCTGGGGAAGAGGAAGATAGGGTTCAGGCTCAACGGGAAGCTTGTTTGCGAAGGGCGGGGTTGGATGCAAAGGGGAGGACTGGTGCAGGCACGATCACAGAGGGTGTTGACCTCATGAACCTTGCCCCGCTGACACCGATTGGTGCACCGAGGCTTAGTATAGTGGACCCAGGCTCACTATTAAAAGTCTTGCCGTCAATAAAGTCCGTTAGAGGGTTCGCGAGGCATGAGTTTGGTAGGATCTATACCGCACTGGGGCCATTATATTTTGACCTAGCCAAGGCGAAGACACATACCGATCCAGTGGTTTTCAGGATATATCGGGATCCCGAACAACAGGCACAGGTACTTGCTCAGTTGAAGGTTTTCGCGCAGTGTGATACTGCACATGGGTGGATGGACAGGCTGGAGAGGCTGAATCTCATGATTGGGATCTTTGAGAATGCAGCCCTGAGAGAATTTGAGGGGTTAGTTTCCTAGACTAACATAGAGAGGGTCATGGGGCTAACTGTCATAGAGGATACGAGACTGGGGATATCGACGGACGCATGAGACGTTATGCTAATGTTCTCATCCTGCTTAACGGCGGCCAGGCGTGCGTCCAATTATTTGTTCAGAAACATCCTGTCATGTTCGAACGTGGTGAACTAGGGAGCCCAATGGATAGCTTCGAGTCAGAACACCTCTTTCTCCTGGAGTGGTATTTTTCTAACAGATTTGCAGTAAATCGATGCCTGGTTCCTTTTCGTTAGAGCCTTCATTACTTTTCTTCACCCGGCTCTCTGCGCTTCTCCATGAGCAAGCAGATGTTATTGACAGGGTATTTCCTGCGACTGTCAATGTCATGATTCCTTTCTTAGAGCGAGTCGCAGAAGACGTTATCAGCGAGTTTGTTACACCCATCCTTGATGAAGCTCATGATCGTGATATTGAGCAGTATCTGGAAGCTGTGGCTGGTATATATCATCGATTGCTTGAATTTGCCAAGACAATCAAGGTAACTAAAGGCTCCGGGGAGAGGTTCGCCGAGGATACGATGAAGATTATGGGTCGAGTTTTTGAGGCGCACGTGGATCTCTACCTACAAGATGAGCTTGACTACTTCCGAAAGAAGTGCGAAACAGAAGTTGACTCTTGGGAAAAGAAGGTCAGTGCATTTTCTGGTGTCTGCTGATTTATAGGCAGCTGACTGGCCCCTAAGATTCTAGAAGAAGACGCTGCCGCCGAATCATTTTTCATGAGCAACATCAACCGAGAAGCAGATAAGCGCGATTTTCTATCGACGTTCAAAAAGGTTATTCTCATGCCCGTTTCGGTTATTCCATCCCCTTTCTCAGCAAAGTCAACTCCTGCTGCCGAGACAAAGCCTGCCGAGACAAGCTCATATGCGAATTCAGACACACTCAGCGTACAGGAGACCCTCAATGCATCTCGTCCTGGCACACCTATGACGCTAGGGCAGGCTACTCCTGGGCCACCGCCAACCACCGAGCTGGCTGCAAAGGCAGCAATCATGAATTCTAGACTAGAAGGGATTCGGTCATTGTTCAGTCTGGAGGTCGCGTTGAACCTCGTGCATTCCGCCAAGTCTAGTCTCGAGAGGGCTGCGTTGTTTGCTACTGCAGGTGGGCAGACTGGAGAAGAAGCGTGGGTAACTCACTCCCCTTGGTCAAATGCAAGACTAACACATGGTAGCCGCGAGCAGTGCGAGCAGATATTCATTGCACTACTTCGAGTGCTAGGCCCACGGCATGTGAAGGCTGGCTTTGACAAAGCCGTTGAACATTTATCGAAATATAACCCCCGAGAAATTACGGAGCACTCTCAGCCTGGAGTAGCACCCCTAGTTACATTTTTAGAGTTAGTCAACGTCGGCGATCTTATCCAACAAATGATAGATGTATTTTATGAGCAAGAGCTCGTAGCAGCGAAGCTTACAGATCCCAACGATTTCTTAAACCCTGCCGCTAAGGAAAAGAAGCGGTTCGAGCAGATGCTCGACGAAAGAGTCGCTGCTGGGTTAAATATGGGGATAGACGTAATACACCTAAGACCACCCAATCCAATCTTATGCATATATTAATTTAATATCTCGTAGGTCCTGATAGATGAGGTAGACCATCTCTTCGCAATAACCCAGCAAACCACAGACTTCAACCCGGGTGCCATCGGTGACGCAAGCCTCCGGGACTTTGATATAGGTCCTACTAAGACTGCAATACGAGTGATAGAGGTCGTATCCTCCCACACAAGGCTCCTCACCGGGAGCACAGACAAGAACGTCCTAGACGTTTTCAATCAAGAAGTCGGGGTGCGACTTTTCGCCTCCCTATGCAAGCATATCAAGCGTCAACGCATCAGTGTCGATGGTGCCATAAAACTGATCAGGTTTTACTCCCCCCCCAAAAAAAGAAAGAAAAAAAGGGAGAAGCGGTTCCTCCATAACCAAAATTCTAACTATAATGGCGTCAAGCGACTTGAACCACTACCATTCCTACATAACAACGTTAAAAATCAAACCGCTTGTGCCATACTTCAATGCCCTCCGCGAACTCTCACAGATATACCTCATCGACCCATCGCACGCAAAGCAAATGGCGACGGTGATCGCAGATCCAAATCGGTTTGGCGGGATATTCAGGGTCGAGGAAGTGTATGAGTATGCTACCCGGCGGGAGGATTGGTACAGGGTTAAGAAGGAGGTTGAGAGGGCTATGTATGGGATTGGGTGCTGTATATCTTGACCCCTCTTTCTGTCCCTTTCTATTCCCTCTCTTTGAGCTTGATTGCCTTTTTTTCTTTCCTTTTTCTTTTTTTGACTATCCGCCGGAACCGAGAAATATGGCGTTAGGGTGGCTTTGGCTTTTAGGTTTGTTTTTGGAACTGCAGTCAGTGGTGGGCGTAATGTGCTATCATAACATTCGGGTGGTTGAGGAGGTATGTCTACAGTATTGGATTGTTACAAAGTCATAGCTCGTCACTCGGGATGAGGAATGGTGAGTATCAATTTTCCTCTACCACTTAGAATGCCCTCGTAGAACTTTAGACCTTGCTTATTTTTTGAGAAGCAGAAACTTGAAGAGCAAAGTGGAACTATGTAAATTTCCAAGTTTTTATTAGTCAAAAAGGCCCACAAACTACTCCTGACTATAGTACAATTCCCCTCCAGCGTTCTCATGTATTGTATCGTGCTATAATGCGTGGAACGGGAGAAAAGGAAAAAGAAAGGAAGAAAGCTCCAAATAATAGCCAAACTCCCATGATCTAAAAAGACCCCGCACCCGCAGTCTTGACATCCGGCAGGCGGGCGCCGAAGACATCCCCTTCACGCTCCGCCTTCTCCCTCTCTAGCCTGCGCTTCTTGGCACGGCGTTCCTCGTCCTCATCGTACCTCCCAATACCATTGCCACTCCCAGTACCACTCTGGCTACCACTCCCATTCCACTCCTCCGCCTTCTTCTTTCCAGCGCTGTCCTGGTCTCTCTTAGTGACACGGTAGAGCTTCTTGTCGATCCTCGTAACTTCCTTGACGAGCGTAGGGTCCACGGACATAGAGAGTGAAGTGGTGATTCCATTCTGAGGCAACTGGAGGAGTAAGCCCTGATAAGGATTTTTCAAGTCCTCAGATAGGCCAGCAGAGAGGTGGTTCTTGGCGATCTCGTCCAGCACGTCCAAGAGCTTCATCTTGGTCTTTCTCCCGGGCACATCGGTTTCGGGAAATTTAATGTCAAGGTAGAAGGTAGCGAGCTCCCTGTCTGCTTCTAGGAAGGCGCCGAAGCTGATCTGCGGGGGGGTGTAGAGGAAGTACACGTCCGTCAGGAGGGCAGTTGTTGTCAGCAGCCTTCTCGCCTCCCCGTGCGCTCGCCCGATCCGGTCCGTGTCCCCCGCCAGGAGCTCCAGCAGTGCAACTTTGGCCTCCGTGGCGGGCAGGACGAGGTGTTCCTTGGGTTTGGGCGGTTGGTAGCGGCCCGATGCTATCGCGTTGAGTTCCAGGAATATGCCCTCCAGGCCGCGGAAGGGGTGCCAGACTTGGAAGGCCCAGCGTAGGCCCATTGCTATTGTGAATTCGGGGTCCAGGAGGTCTTCCTTCGTCACTTTGGGGCCGGCCGTGGCGGCCGTCGCGATGAAGTTTTTTATGGGCGTGTAGTGATTCTCGGTCTTCGTTGCTAGGTATAAGATTGGTAGGAGAAGCTTCTTTGGGTGCAAGGTGAGGGTGGATGTTGTTAGGTAGAGGCGATGGAGGAATGTTAGCGCGGTCGCCTATAGCATCATGTCAATTAGCTCTGCTATAGAGGAAGAGGGGGGGAGGTATACCTTGACGTTGCTGGGAAACTGAAAATGATCCGACAACTGCATACATTTCACGCAATAATATGCAACTAGCTTTAACTCCTCTTCCGCCGTCGGACAATCGATCTCTTCGATCTCCGACTCGACAATCCCCGCTGCGACCGCCCGTCGCTTTATCGACTCTGTGATCTTCTCGATCGCGGCTTTGTTGGTGGCATAGCGTAGGTCCGAGAGCTGCTTTGGCGTGAAGGTGAACAGCCTATGTTGTGTACTTGTCGAGTATATGGTGTCGTCCATACCTCCCTTGCTCTGGCTTTTATTCACTCGTTCGTAGGGTAGATCGGTAGATGGGAAGGTAATCTTGGCTTGAGCAACTCGGTTTAAGAAGGGGGACCGGGGAAGAAAAAAGGCATGAAAAGGGTGGTGAAATCGAACCTTCGATAACCCGCCCCACCGTGTCCGCGAATCTTAACCCACCTTCGAGGTTTCAAGAGGTGCTCAAGTTTCGGGGCGAATTCCTCTTTTCTGCGGATTATTTGGCCGATAATAGAAAGCAGGGTAACCCTCCCTTGACAACTAAAATACTATATAAAGACGGCTCCACCCCCTATGTTGGAAAAAAATTTTCTCTCTCTTCTCTTTAGAAATCTACTGCGTCCGCGAAGACAGTGCAAGTTGCATAGGCCTTGTTTGTTCGGAATTCTTTCGACGGGCGGGGTTTGGTTGTTCTCTTGTGATTTCATGACGCACAGAGAAGTTACCTGATCTCCATTAAGAACTGGCTAGGTGTTTTTTTTTTTTACCGTTGCCTTGAACAGTGTCAGAGGGGACCGACATAGCTGTATTTTTTCGCGCCTGGGATTGGCGGTCCAAAGGGGCTTTGAATGTGCGTTGTGAAATAGATATTTGGGAGAGCGGCTGCTCGATTGTTAATGACGGTTGATCGGTGAAGGAAGGAAGGCGTAAATTTAGACAATTGGTGATATGACACCTTGACTTTGAAACGATGTTTCCCATGAAATATTATGATACCTTGGAAAAAATGTTGCGAGGGGAACCGCAGGAGCGGACAGAAAGCGGTTATGCGATGTTGCCCTGAGGGATTTTTCTCGGTAGTCACTTGCGGTATCAGTAGAGCGAGCTTGGTGGATCTGCCTGGAATTGATGCAGTGCCTAGCGTGCGAAATCTCGGTACGGTGGCATGCCCGAGGCTGGCAATTATTCAAATGGAGAACTGGGGGTAGGCTCGATACCTAAGGCGGACCATAGAGTTTGCCACAGGATCACCTCCTCATCCCCTCATGCTGGGAGTCCCTAGATATTCCGATTCTTTAAAGGAAACACCAACAAAACCTCAATCACTACATTTAAACTCCTACTGTTTGAACGATAGAAAAGCCAAAGCGACAGGCAACGGGAATTCTGATTTTTCGTATCAATTACATCAAAAGTCCTGTTTAAAGAGGAACCTATTGCTTTTCATATGGAACTGTTCTCAATTTCCTCCATTAATGTCGATCGCGCTGTAGGAACTTCCATTAGTCTCCAGAACAACAATGAAGTGAGACGATGTACGGGGTTATACAGCTCTTGGCTTAGCTCTGATAATACTGTCAACCCTCAGCAACATCTCGGTAGCTTCGGAGGCGGAAGAAACAACGGCTCTCTTTAGCTTGTAACTTTCAATCTGTGGGGAAATAGAATTAGTTTCGAATCGGATCTCCTTCCAGCGCAGGATAATTATATTACCACTCCAAGCTCCCTCATGTCGCTAATACGGCCCCCAGGGTGGTATAAATCCAGTCCAGAACTAGACATTCCACTGTGTATAGCAGCCCTAAGTTTGGAAACAAGTTCACTGCTATCAAATCCAGCGTTGTCTGCGAGAATGGTGGGGAGCTGTCGGAGCGCTCTAGCGAAAGCTTCAATAGCAAGGGCCTTTTTGCCGGGGGTGTTGTGTGCGGCATTCTCAACAGCCTTGGACATGAGCATCTCGGAACACCCACCGCCAAGGACGGTCCTGGTCTCAATGACAGTCTGGGATAAGACGGAAAGAGCATCGTGAAGAGATCTATCTGCCTCGTCCAGAAGTTGTTCAGTTGCCCCTCTCAGAACAACTGTGCATGCTTCGCCTGCCGCAACTCCTGAAAATTTGATAAGGGTGTCCTCGCCAATGATAACCTCTTCGATCAAACCGCATTGGCCAAGCTTAACAGCATCTGGGTGGTCGAAGGTAGAGGTGATCTCACCGCCGGTTACGAGAGCCAAACGTTCGATGCCGTCAAAGTCTGCATGTTCAATTGACATTATGCCAGCGTCGGCGAACAGCTGCTCGGGCCAGTTGTAAATGAGTTGACGATTTACGAAGCAGTTGATACCATGAGCCTTGATCCTCTCAACTTTTGACCTCATCTTGTCACGTTCTGCTTTCTCGAGTTCGGCAAGCTTTCCCGTAGAATCCACCTTAACCCTCGCACCAAAGATCTTGACCTTATCGGTATCCATAGCTATATTGACGTGTTAGACGTTTTTCAGGAGCATTACCGGGCAGATCCGAGCTCACCAGTATTCGCCACGAGGATCTTCGCATTCTCAAGTCTCTTCGGCTGGTTGATGCCAATATTCTTATCCAGGATAAACCCCTCGTCAAGGTAGGAGTCGCTGAGCTTTCCACCGGCCTTCTTGATAATCTGGATATTATTCAAGTTGGTACTTCCCTTCAGCCTCAACACCGCATCTACCGCCAACTCTGCGAAGTGCTCCTTATCCTGGCTCAGGACCTTGGAGCTCAAGGTCGTCCGAGCAATGCTTAGAAGGTCTTCCCGAAACTTCTCCGTGTTGGCCCTGTTGTCCACAGCACTTCTCTTCAATGCCTCGAGAGCGGAAGCTGACGCAATCCTATACCCATCAATGATAGTCTGCGGGTGGATCTTCTGGTCAACGAGCTTCTCCGCCTCGTGAAGTAGTTCTGCGGCCAAAACAGTAACAGAGGTGGTCCCGTCTCCAACTTCATCATCTTGAACCTTGGAAATGTTGACAAGCACCTTCGCTGCGGCATTATCTAACGCTATAGACTTCAAGATTGTAGCGCCATCATTCGTAACCATGATTTCTCCGGTGGAACTATACCTCTCTCATCAGCAAACCATCCGGAAAAGGGAGGGAATATTTTCAGGTTTTCTGACGGCTAGAAGGCCTGTATACCCACGCTGATTGTAATATTTTATCCATCCCTTTAGGACCCAGAGTAGTCTTCACCAAATCCCCCACAGCAATAGCGCCAACAAAGGCCGAAAGCCCTATCACTCTCGTCAAATACCCGCCCCCCTATAACGCCATTGCGCCGATCAAACTCTCGATGGTGGGGTAGAGTATGACTTACGAGCATTTTCTCCTCTCTCCTCCGTTACATCCTCACCGAAGATTTGTGTCGGATTGCTCTGTTTTTCACATTAGCAGACGTTCTAATTAGGACTCAATCTGAGGTGTAGTCTAGACTCACCATGGCGAAATTATAAAGAGAAAATAAAACAAGGGTGGTAGTTGCTGATGGTGGGGTATGATATGATATCAGCGTTTTCTGGATGATGGTGTGTGGGGAAAACCATGAATTTTGGTGCTGACTCAGCATGCGGTGTCAGAAGGCTCCGCGGCAGTGTTTGTGCCCAGTAGGGGTCATGGATCAGCACTCGGGGAACGATAAAGCTTGGTGTCGTCGGTCAAGGCCAATAACCTGAAATGAGGAACCAAAGAGATGTAAAGACTTGTAGGAACAGAGAGCTGTGGAAAGGTAGAAGAAATTGGTCAGGAAAGCAACGGTTTTTCGTGTCCATTCCTTTGTGCCTATGACCGTAGTACTTATATCATACCGAGGAGAGATATCTATATACAGTAATCTGAGTACCAGTCTGCTGTGTTCAACATACTCCGGTCGCGTTGGGGCAATGTCTTCAACACGTGGTCGGCAGTGCTGCCGAGAATATCACACTATAGGTCCCAGTTCATTATTGGAAATTTTCGTTATGCTGAAACTCCTATTCTATGTCTGCAGACGGGACTTCCACACTAGGTCAGACATTATGGCACAATTGATTACTAAGTCCAAACTCTCCTCTATCCAAATCCGGCAAAACCCTCTTGATATCTACAAGGGCCAGAGTGCCGGCCTCTCCTCACAATATGTAAAAGGATTCACCTAGCTAACCTAGCAATAGTTTAATACTTTGAAAGCTGTTCAAGAGATGCCACCTGTGCCTGTGATCTGAGAAAACCTAAGATGAATCACTAAAACCAGTAGCTATAGCTCAATTAAGAGATTTTAGCAGGCCCAGGGCAGGGTTTGCTAGGCCAAGATGGCCTCTATAAAGAGTTGACGGAGGATACTGGAAGATTGTCCCTCCCCACATATCCAGTTATATAATTACCTAGAAATTGTCTTGTCTCTGAATGCATCTTAGGTGATAATAAGAGCTTGTAGGATGAAATTTTAAAGTGGAGTTTGGAGCACAAATTCTTAGGTAATTATTAAAAAATAGGTGAGGTTCAGTGAAAAAAGTAAAAATTTATTTTCCGGTAAAGGTCTCATATGCCATTAATGTTTTCAAAAATCCCCTCAAATGCCACAGTACCCTCAGATGCCACAGTACTCTCAGATGCTATGGGAATATATTATGTAAGTTTTGCTTCTATGTAAATTAAATACAAATTAGGTTTCTTGATATAAATTATTTACTTAGTCTTGGCACTGGTAAAGGAGAATTCCTATTATACAGGAACAGGTATCTTCTACCTCACCATTCTTTTTTCTCTCTAACTCAACTTTGTTTTTTCCCTCATACTTTCTCCCCTTTCACTACTTCCTCTTCTCAGCCAATCTACTTCTCCCCTTCTTTCTCACTCTTCCTCCTACCATAAAATCTCTTGCAATCTACCATCTTTGGCAGCACCTACTCTTTGTATTCTAAGTTAAAAGTTTTTAAAAAGAATTAGTGTTTTCCTGACACAGTATAGCCTGAGTTACTAGTTTATGTTAGATCGTATTAACTTCGTAATTAAAATCTATCTTAAATGAAAGTTACCAGTTATGGGAATATTTGTGACAAACTGGAGATAGTAGATTTCTAGAGATTTTACAGTATTCTAGAAACTCTTGCTCTCTATCCTTGCTCTATTCTCTCTTCGCTTTACTCATTACTCCTTACTCTGTACTCTCCACTCATCTCTCTCAGATCTTTGCTTCTTGCTCTGCACTCTTCTACTTCTCTCTACTTGTCACTGCTTGCATGACTAGTAAATCCCCTATTCAAGCTTCAAGACTACTGTTACCAAGATAGAGTCTACCAAGTAGTAAGCATAGAGATCTTAAGTGTATATAACTCTGAATACCTATTGGAGTTACGTAGTCTCATCATGGTCAAGCTGTCTAGGAGGCCAGATAATAGAAAGTTTTCAATTGTAGACATTGGCACTATTATGGTAATAGCCTACCTAATCTCAGATGTTGACCAGTAGTGGCTCATTAACAGTCAAATCAATTTAAGAATATTCAAACAGATAAAGCAACTAGACAAAAGTATTGGTGATGCTAAGTAAGTAATGGCAAAGCAATGTTGTGATAATATTATTATGACAGCTCCATATATATTTTCAGAGTATACTATAGAATGTTATACACATCCATCTCGAAGAGAAGGCTGTTTTCCACTAGGATCCATATTCATATGTGATGTACAAAGTGTACCAGGTGTATCCACTATATGGGAGGTGGCATGGTCAAAGAGAAAAGGTACCTGAACATTAGGGAATGTAGCTTCAAAGATTGGAATCGCGATATTGAGGACCTGGTCTATTAGGTTATCCCCATTCTACCAAGATCCTTTACCAACTTTGATGTATTTAGTTACCTGTCAGTGATTGATTTGAAGTCTTAGAATTGGTTCAAGGTCGTGAGATTGTAGTGCTATTGGTAATGGATTAGAGAAGAGCATTTCCAGCTGATTGCAGAAAAGAATAAAGTCAGAAACCATTAGACCTTGTCCTTTGTACTTTTGCAAATTAGGTGCTTATCCTTGTGAATCTAACGATAGTATACACCATCAATTGAATGGAAAGTACACTCATCATGGGTACAAGGAATCAGCATGCACTCTCCAGGTGGTAATGATGTTCGATCCAAAGCTCCAGATGGCAGCCATTTAGGCATATGCTTCTTGAGCTCCTTCCATTGAGGAAGAAAGTACTGCTGATGGTAAAAGACGATATTGGGCTTCTCATGCTCATCAATATATACTCCTTTACGAACTTATTTCTATTCAATGCCTAGCTTTTTTAGCCAGCCAATGGCGGTCAATGCAGTAATACTCATTTTTTCCTGAGTATGCTTTTCAATTAGAGCATCATAGATACAGGAAATATGAAGTCCAGCATCAGCCTAGCTAGTTCGTGTAGTCCAATACTCTATTACTGCTTTGGCAAGACCATATCCAGATATATCTATAATTTCATTTCATCCTATATTAGTTTCAAGTTCAACGAGTTAAAGAGATTAAAAAATATAGCATACTTTCACCTGCTCCTTCTAAGTACTCACATACTGCAATCAATATTCCCTCATCATTAAGTATACTTTGCAACTTTGCATGCTTGCCACACTGACTGGATATAATAGTTCTCATTTTAATCTAGCTCTTCTCTCAATGAATAATATTTTCAGCTATCTGCTTGCTTTGTCCCCATCCAGTTGCTGTATTTTGTGCTGCTGTCTTGCATGGCATATCCGGATACTTTATTTGCCAATTCATAAGCTGGAAGACTTAGAAGTAGCAGTCAAAATCATGGACATTGTGGGAGGTTTTTTTCTTCCGGTATAGAACCTTACCACTATCAAAAAACAGCTATATATTATTATTATTGAATTTAGTAAAAACTTCTTTTACAGTAATATGATCAATTCATATTCCAGGAAAATAATCATACCTTTCTTGAGAACTGTTGTTCTCATCTCTTTTGTAACCATTGGCTACTTTTCTCCAACTTACATTTCTATATCCTCCCAATACTCAAGTTCATGCTCCTCTCTGTGCTCCTCCAGCTGTCTTACTCTCTCCTTCTCCTTACATTCCCTTCGCCATAATGTTGTTCTAGATGATCTCTTCTCAGTGTTCAACCTCAGAGCATTTGTTCTGTAAGGCTGAATAGGCGAATATGTCTCTGTTTGGGATTAGACAGATTCTTCTACTTCCTGGATAGAGTCTTCCTGCTGGCGGGACTCGGTCTCTGATATTGGACTTGGATCACCACTGCAGTGGATTCCAGTTAGTAATTCTGAGGTGCTGCATACTTTTTTAGGATGTCCCCTTTGGGCTCCTACTTTGCATCAGCATTTCCGTTTATTATTTAAGAGAGGCATACTGATGGTATTGTTGTGTGGAATGTGTAATTATTCATTACTCATACTCTATACTGTTATCATAACTTGATATCTATTAATTATTTTTACAACTTAGTCATCTTAGCTCCTGAGTATTTTTTAGTCTGCTCCTATGTACATTCTATCACATGTTTCACTCTTACTAAAATTTGCACTTTTTAAACTTGAACTCCTTTTTCTAATAAAACTTTATTACAAAAAAAAATCATCAGGCCTCTTCTCCTCTTGAATGTCTTCCTCAATGATGTTTTTTTTTTTTTTTTATTCCTTGATGTAGTTGACTAGTTCAATTTTAGGTTTGCCAGTTTTGCGGACTATGATTGAGTTGCTTTGCACTATAATTGTCACGAACGTGGCTTGGCATGGAAAAGGTTTTCATGTGACACATGGTTATGAGTCACAGGTATGTTGTTGTTTTACGCATATAACTCATTCGGGTTTTATGATTTGTTATGTGTGGGATTTGTGATGCTTTCGCACATGGCTCAAGTATGAGTCATGGGATGTGCGCTTGGCGAGTATGCCTTGCGAGTGTGCCTCGCAGGTAAGCCTTGCCCATATGATTTATGTTTCGCACATGACTTCATTATGAGGTCATGGGTTTCGCACATATGACTCAGTCAAGTCATATAACTTGTTTATTATTATGATTTGGTTTCGTACAGGTGACCACTTTAGGTCACATGACTACGAGCGGGAAGAATACTATATAAGGAGGCCAAGGCGGCCGAAGAAGATAGGTTGTTCACGCTTTGTTCTAAGTACTTTTCCTACTTATTACTTTAACGAATATAAAAGACCTTTACAATCTTTATCTTTATTGCAATGTTATCGTTACGCCAAGGAAAGGTCTTTGTCAAGATGAGTTAGAGAAAGCTTATGATAGGCATTCCTGATAGAAGACAAAGGTCTTGTACTATGAGTAGTGTAGGCAGAGGCCTAAGGTTATTGTAAGACAAAGAAAGAAGAAGACTCAAGCGAGAAGTGTCATTCCCCGTCGCTAAGAACTAACTGTCCAAAGAGGGATCGTTACATTACAAAGCGTCACCTAAGTGCGACGCAAAACGATACAAGACGGCATCCTTCAATCCAGACAGGGAAGGAGATATCGACATTGACAATCAAAACCTTAACCTAGGAGGATTCAGCGACACCTTAGATCACGTCTCAGCAGAGCCCTCAAGAGCAGCAAGCGGAGTAAC